CCCCCCCCCCCCCCCCCCCCCCCCCCCCCCCCTCCCCCGCTACGCTAACATGGCATAGCTCGGTCGATTTTGGTATTCTTGGTAAATTTCAGACTGCAGGGGATGGTTGGAAATATGAATTGCGAAAACCTTTTCAATCCCATATCTTCCAAATTCAATTCTCCAACAGGGGAAACGCCATCTGTCTTTTTGAAAAGCGTATCAATGAGCAGTTTATTGCCAAATTTCTGTCGTAATTTCTCGTTGATTTGTAAATTTCTGGCCATATCTTCATACATTCCACAGCGTTGCGCATCAATCTCTTTTGCCAATAGCTCAAGATTATGCAAAATTTTCTCGTGCATTTCCACTGGCTTCAACTCCAGCAAAGTAAGCGTGTACATATACAACGGCCACTGTAATGAAAATCAAACTGAAGAATAATCATGATTTTTATAACTGAAATGCATTTTAACACTCATGCACTGTCATGGAGTAATAGAAATTTAAAATAAGGAATGAAATAAAGAGAAAGGAACATAAGAAATGAAAATTAGAAAATTCGTGAGATTGTTATAATGGCAAGAAATGTTTCGGTCCATAAAGTTGCATACATTTCTTACCATTACCACAACTGGACCTCGTCAGTACGATGACTGTGGTAATTAAGTCGAAAGTTCGACTCCGCTAATAGGACAGCCAATTCCTTTATGACTTGTCCATCCGTTTCGATTGCAAATTGGTATTGGCACATGTCAACGAGTCAAACTCGCCATCATTCTGCTTTTCTAGGTAACTTTCGAAAGGAAAAACCTTGCCAACTTTTTTGCTTACAACCAAACTAATAGCGAAAGATAATGATAATTTTTCACTCTCAAAAAGGCAAATAATAAAAATGTACAATATACCTTCATTGTCTCTCTCTTTCGTTCAAATTCAAGCTCTTTCAATAGCTTCTCGCAATTATCCATGAATTTTTCAATAATTTCTCGTCGAGATTCAGCGATTGGCTTCCTTTTGATATGATAGAAATGATAAATTTCATCAAAATTTACATAGCCATCGCTCAGATTCACCGCCCTGTATGGTTCACTAATGCTTGGCCGTACAGT